AGGCCTGGCTCCTGACAGGGACACAGGAGGTTTCTGTCCTTGTCCTGTTCCCACTCCTCTGCAGATTACCCACCATGTTAGACATAAATGTGATCCTTCAGGGCTGGCAGTGGTATAACATTTGCTTAGCATGCTGGCAGTTCTTGATTCTATACCCAGCATCACAATAGTAGTAGTAGTAGTAATATAATAATAATAATAAATGATAGATCCTCTGAGAGCTGATGTTACTTGATCCAACTCTATCACTCACCATTCAATTTTAAAGTCTTGTCCATTTTTCTCATATTTAACTTTTCTTCTTTGTTTTCACAAGGAAATAGAAGGCAGTGACGACATTGCTGTGTTTGTGGATGTCCAGGCTCTACTCAACGCATAATGCGGTATTTCCTGCTCTCCCTCCACTGCTGTTCCTTAAGAGAAAAATTAATTAAAAGACTTGCTAAGGAGAGCCCACCCCCCATATTGCTGGCAAATGGGGTGGGCCATTATCTCAGAGATGGATTAGCTGTTGTCTGCTTTTCAAGACACTGCTGTCTGGGTCCTCTGCTATGTCCTTAGTTGGTGACAAGCAGACTAGTCACTTGTTCCAAATAAAAGTGGCTGTGGATGTTTGGAGAGTTAGTGTTCAACAGTTGTGAGTTTTAAAATAGATCCAGTTCCTTTATCCTTCATTCCTCTTCTCCTATTTCATGGCAGAGGAGTAACAGACTGTAGATAGGAAACATGAACTGGCCCTCCTCCTCCTCCTCCTCTTCCTCCTCTTCTTCCTCCTCCTCCATACTGGGGACAAACCCAGTCCCCACATGTGCTATGCAATCACTCACTAAACCTAGCTCTTTCACTTGTTCAGAGATGTAGACTCATTATATTGCCCAGACTGATCTTAATGGGAGGGTGTGTGTGTGTCACCATGTTTGGCTTAGTTTGTCTCTCTCAACAAGACTCATTCACTTGCATGAAGTTACTATTACAGCCCTTCCCTCCCATCCCTCCCTCCCTCCCTCTCTCCCTCTCTCCCTCCCTCCCTCCCTTCCTTCTCTTCTCTTCTCTTCTCTTCTCTTCTCTTCTCTTCTCTTCCTTTCCCTTCCCTTCCCTTCTCTTCTTTTCTCTTCTTTCCTCTCTGCCAATACTAGATCTTAGACTCCACTTGAGCCACATCCCCTAGTCCTTTTTGCTTTAGTTATTATTATTTTAAATAGGGCCTCCTCTCCTGTTTATGCTGGGGTTGGCTTGGACTGAAAGTCTCCTATTTATGTTTCCAACATGGCTGGAACAACAGAATATGCCCCCATATTCCTCATCTTTTCTTTAAAAACTGATTGTGATAGAGTGTCACTAGATTTTTGCCTGTGCAAATTTTGATCCTCCCAATCTCTGTCTCTCAGCCTACACCCAGTGTAGATAATCAAATTTCTTTTACATCCTGGTCAACCAAAAATAATTCTGTGCTTTTATTGTTTTGTATCAACATTTTTCTGGCCAGAATGGAAACATCAAATACCATTTAAGCTCTCTACAGAGGCTTGAGGGAGTTGTCCATGTTTTATTTCAGCTGCACAGCTGGAAGGTGGACGGAATAGATTTTAAGGTGACTTCCATTTGCAGAGTCACATAGTTCAGACGTGTGGAAATGGAGCTTGGAGGCCTGTGAGGTGCCCGAGGGCCTCAGGAGTGGTGTGGTTTGGTGGACGGATGACCAGTTTCAGAAGTGACTGACCTGTACCCTCCACCCAGCAGGCTTACAGTTCAGTAACCATCCTTAAAAATTGTAGCTGTTCTGGGTGCCAGTGGCTCATGCCTGTAATCCTAGCTACTCAGAAGTCTGAAGTCTGAGGACTATGGTTCTAAGCCAGCCAAGGTAGGAAAGTCCATGAGACTCTTATTGCTGCCGAATACAGGTGGCTCAGCTCATGCCTGTAATTCTAGCTACTCAAGAGGCTGAGATCTGAGGATCGTGGTTTGAGGCCAGCCCAGGTAGAAAAGTTCCCCTGAGACTCTTATCTCCAACTGACCACTCAAAAACTGGAAGTGTAGCTGTGGTTCAAGACGATAGAGTGCTAGCCTTGAGCACAAAGAGGCTCTGGGACAAAGCCCAGGCCCTGAGTTCAAGCCCCCCGACTGAAAATAAAAAGACTCTTATCTCCAATTAATCGCCCAAAAACTAGAAGAAGAGCCATGGCTCAAATGGTAATGCACCATCCTTGAACAAAGAAGCTTAAAGACAGCACCCAGGCCCTGAGTTCAAGACCCAGTAGTGGTGAAAAAAATGTAGCAGGGTTTTTGGCAAGTGTGCCCTTCTGTAGTTTGAAGAGAGTGTGTGGTTTTGTTTCATTGAGAAATGCTTCTTACCTAAGCTTAGCTGGGGCAGGAACAATGCTTAAATGTTTTTCTCACCTGCACTGGGACAGAATTTATACCTCTCTGCTTAGAATCAGCCCAGCTGCCATGAAAACAAATTTTGCTGTGTAGGCAAGAGATACTGGGAAGTTGTAGAATTCAGGTGAACAGGAGTTGAACATACAGCTAAAATATGACAGCTTTGGAGTCACATGCTAGTGGCTCACACCTGTAATCCTTGCTACTCTGGAGGACAAGGTCTGAGGATTGCACTTTGAAGCCACCCCAGCCAGGAAAGTCTATGACACTCTTATCTCCAGTTAAGTGCTCAGAAAAGGCTGGAAATGGCTCTGTGGCTCAAGTGGTAGAGTGCTAGCCTGAAGGAAAAAACAATGTCAGGGGCAGAGCCCAGGCTGTGAGTTCAAGAGGCAGGACCAGCACCCACAAAAATAATTATTAATAATCAGTCAACTAATTAAAAAATCAGAAGTGGAGCTGTGGTTCAAGAGGTAGAGGGCTAGCTGTGATTTAAAAAAGCCAAGTGTAGGCTGGGCGCTGGTGGCTCAGGCCTGTAATTCTAGCTACTCAGGAGGCTGAGATCTGAGGATCTCGGGTCAAAGCCAGCCTGGGCAGGAAAGCCATGAGACTCTTATCTCCAATAAACCACTAGAAAACCGGAAGTGGTGCTGTGGCTCAAGTGGTAGAGTGCTTGCCTTGAGCTGAAGAGTGCAGGGACAGCACCCAAGGCCAGAGTTCAAGCCCCATGACCGGCCAAAAAAAACCCAAAAACGCCAAGGACTCACACTCTGGGTTCAAGTGCTCAGGCTTTGAGTTCAAGCCCCAGCACTGGCATGTACACACACACACACACACAAATACGAATGCTTTGAGACCTTAGGAACAAGGCTTTCCTTGTTCAGTGACAACTCTCTTCTTACCTAAGTTGATGGCTTTTTGGTAAGTCTAGTGTGGGTGAGGCTGGCAACACAGCAGCTACCCTAGCTTACCCCTTACCTGGGCCTGTGGCACATTAGGCTGTCAGAAAGGGAGTCTCTTTTGCTAGTAGGTTTACATATGCAGATGAGATGAAAATGTATACGTTAATCTGTTTTGCTGGTGCAGCTGTGAACATTTGCTTTCTATGCACAGTCTAGAAGAAGTCATTTAAATCCTGAATACAAGTAAAACATTCATTTCTCAAATTAGATAATGGGGCTAGCTGTTAAATACTGAAAAACCAGACAAATGCCAGCATTTCCCTTCCTTTCAGAAACTAAACTCTACTTTCCTAGCTACCTTTTTCACTTTGAGTGTGATAGGCTTTTGGAGGTCACCGTGTAATAGGATTTTGGAGGTGAACTCCTGTTCACCTGCTCTGGAGGTCAGAACTCCAGCCCCCCAGCCCTACCCTCGTACCATATCCTTGCAAGAAATCAAGATGAAAACCAAGTCACAGATGATACGATTGCCTGGGTACTGTTCTGTATGCTCTAGGTCTTTCCTGTGTATTTGGCAAAAAACAGCTAGAAGCAGAGCTGTGGCTCAAGTGGTAGATTGCCAGCCTTGAGCAAAAAAGCGAAGGGACAAAACCCAGGCCAGGGAGTCAAGCCTCACTACCAGCACAAAACAAAATAAAACAAAAACAAAACAAAACAAGACAAGCTCTCAAGGGAAAGTGAAAGTTCACATTTACAACTCAGTTTAAACAAGATCTAGATGCCCAGCCTTGCAGCCCATATATAAGGAGTTCACCATGATGGGATTTTGATAAACTGTGATTGATGTCAGCAGGTCCAAATGTAATATTTTGTTGTAAATTTGATGACAATCATTAATCAGATTTAGGAGATCACTCCCTGCTGAATAGGGCTGGGAGACAGACAGGGAATATGCAGTCTATGATAATTTCCCAGGTTGCTTTGGGATTGAAATTCCCCTTTCTAGTACTTAATATGCTAGGTTTTCTGCATGTCATTACTTCCCCAACACCTGCCACAAATGGTGATTCTGCTTATAGCAAGACGCAGATAGGGAGGCATTCAGTGACTTTCCCATTCAGTGAACAGGGGCTGCCCGGGGCTCAGCAGCAGCCTTTTGTCTCCAGGGGCCCAGTCCGAGGCTGTGTGACAGGGAGGGGCTGCCCTATGCTTCCCTCAGTGGTCCAGGCCTTCAGCTGGTAGTATGATGTTGGGTGTGTCTAGCCGTACACAGAGTGGGCTCTCCAGGGCTTCCTGCAAGCAAGAAGTGCTTGTGGAAACGTTTCCAAAGAGATACCAGCTTTTCAATAGAGAAACTTACTTGGCCAGTTCACAGTTTTCTTTCTTGAGCTAAAGGTAGTTGCTTTTATTATTTCCCAAAGCGCCTGGCTGTCTTGGTGGAGACAAATGAGCACAGCGGCAGCCTGGAATATCCCAGCCGGGTAAGAATAGCCACAGGAGAGACCACTCCCGCTCTGCCCCCTGCACTTGTCAGGAATGCTTTGCTTCAGAGGCAAAGGACCATCTTGACTTGGAGACAGCAACCCTCACTTCTTGCTTAGTCCTGGGTGCAGATCTTAACTGTCAGAGCTTCAACTCTCACCTGGAAACACATTCATTTCTTTGAGGATCTTCAGCCTCCTTGGAGATTCCAGGCAGCTGCAAGGCTGCCATTCTGGAAGCATGGAGAACTTGGACCTGATGGGCTTCCTGATCATCACGTTAAACTGTAACGTGACCATTGTGGGTGAGTCCCAGGGAACCCTAAAACTCTCACTCTGATGTTGTTTTTGTTGTGTCTGACCTGGGTCTTTCTTAAAGAGCTGGGTGTATCCTAAAATTTAGTTTGCTTGGTCCATCCCTTAAAGAAAGGCCAGTGTAGCTGAACACTGGTGGCTCACGCCTGTTATCCTAGAAACTCAGGAGGCTGAGATCTTGAGGATTACAGTTCAAAGCCAGCCCTGTCAGGAAAGTCCAGGAGACTCTTATTGCCAATTAACCAGCTAAAAGACAGAAGTGGAGTTGCGACTCAAGTAATAGTACACCAGCAATAAAGCTACAGGACAGTGCCCAGGCGCTGAGTTCAAGCCCCAATACTACTACCACCAACAACAAGAGAAAAAAGAAAGAAGGGAAGAAAGAAAGAAAGAAAGGAAAGAAAGAAGAAAGGAAAGAAAGAAAGAAAGGAAAGAAAGAAAGAAAGGAAAGAAAGAAAGAAAGAAAGGAAAGAAGGCCAGCGTATCAAGGAGGAAAAGGCCCTACAAAGTTGGGCTGTCTTCTGACAGCTCCTTGCTGTACAGTACCATGGAAAGAAGCCCGGGCATGAGCACCTTTCTCTCACTGGGTCTCTTCTTGCTGACATGGGGTGCTGGCGCAGGTGGAAGCTGCTTTGTGTAAGCCTCTTTGGGGGCTACTTTACCAGGAAAAAAATAATATTGAAAAGGTTAATGAGAAAGTAATGTTTGGCTTATTTTTTTTTCTCCTTCTAGCTTTTATGTATCCTTGAAGCTTCATTTGTTTAGTAATTTCTCTTTGGTAGTTTCAACCAAATTCCAATTTTAGTTTGGTTATACTTAGTTTAATTTTTGTGGTGTTGAGGATGGAACATGGGGCCTAGGGCGTGCTAGGCCAGTACTCTATCACTGAACCATACCCCCATCCTCGTGTGTGTGTGTGTGTGTGTGTGTGTATGTGGTGTGCACACATGCCAGTTCTGGGACTTGAACTCATGTCCTTACACTCTCAGTGCCCTGCCACTTGATCCATACCCTCAGTCTTATTTATTTTTGCTGATTAATTGGAGATGGAATCTTTTGAACCTTTTTGTCCAGGCTGGCATTGAACCTTGGTCCTCCAAATCTCAACCTCCTGAGTGGCTAGGAATTCAGACGGTGAGCCAGTTGCTGGTGGGGGGGTTGAACTCAAGGCCTTTCACTTGCTGGTGCTGACACACTACCCCATAAGCCACACGCTTTGCCTGGGTTTGATCTCCAGCGACCACGCGTACATTAAGCGAGATAAAGGGTCCAGCGCTATTGCTGTAACCACGCACAGCAGCACCGACTCAGCTCTCCAGTCTCAGCTACAGGAACGACTCAACCGCCCATTGACACAAGGGTGCTTGCTCTTTTCCAGGCAAGATCTGGCTCATCTTCACCCTGCTGGTGAGGATGCTGGCGGTGGTCCTGGCAGGGTACCCCATCTACCGGGACGAGCAGGAGCGGTTTGTCTGCAATACTCTACAGCCGGGCTGCGCCAACGTTTGCTATGACGCCTTCTCGCCGGTGTCGCCCCTGCGCTTCTGGCTGGCGCAGAGCGTGTCGGTGCTCCTCCCGTGCGCCATCTTCAGTGCCTACGTCCTGCACCGGGGGGCCCAGCTCGCCGCCTCGGACGCAGGCGCCGGGGCCCGCCGGCCCTCGGACCTGCCCGGCGGAGACGGGCGCTGGCCAGCCCCGCGCGGGGCCGGGCGCCTCCGCTCCGTGCCCGACTTCTCCGCCGCCTACCGGGCGCACGTCTCTCTGCGGACGCTGCTGGAGGCTGCGTCCGGGGCCCTGCACTACCTCCTCTTCGGGTTCTGGGTCCCCGAGCGCTTCTCGTGCGCGCGGCCGCCCTGCTCCAGCGCGGTGGACTGCTACGTGTCGCGGCCCACGGAGAAGGGCGTGCTGATGCTGTTCTTCTGGGCGGTGAGCGCGCTCTCCTTCCTCCTGGGCGTCGCCGACCTGGCCTGCGGCCTGCGGAGGAGCGGGAGCGCGGGCTGCGGGGCGGGGCAGCTCCCCCGGCCCGGCCCCGAGCGGGCGGGCGGCGGCGGCGGCAGGCGTGTGCGCCCTCCCCGGCGAGGCAGGGCGCGCGGGGCTTCCGGAGGACGGCCGCAGCCGGGCCGCGTCTTCGTCCGGTGACCTGACGGCGACGGCCGACACGCAGCCCGGAGGCGGGCCCCCGGGCTCTCGAGCCCACCTGGCTGGGCACGACTGCGCCCCGCGACTGCAGCCCCCCGGCCGGCCGGCCTCCGAGGGCAGCGCTCCGCACCTGCGAGCCCAGAAGTCCGAATGGGTCTAGAGCGCCGCGCGGCGCCACGAGCGCAGCCGTCCAGCAGGCGTCGCTGTCCGGCGCCAGGCGCCAGGTCCGCCAGGCCGCCGCCCCCCGCCGGCCCCCGCCGGCCCCCGCTGGTCCCCGCTGGCCCTTGTTGGTCCCCGCCGGCCCCCGCCGGCCCCCACCGGCCCCCGCCGGTCCCCGCCGGCCCTTGTTGGTCCCCGCTGGCCCTCGCTGGCCCCCGCTGGCCCTCATTGGTCCCCGCTGGCCCTTGCTGGCCCCTGCTGGCCCTCGCTGGCCCTCGTTGGTCCCCGCTAGCCCTTGTTGGTCCCCATTGGTCCCCGCTGGCCCTTGTTGGTCCCCGCTGGCCCTCGTTGGTCCCCGTTGGTCCCCGCTGGCCCCTGCTGGCCCTCGTTGGTCCCCGCTGGCCCTTGTTGGTCCCCACTGGCCCTCGTTGGTCCCCGCTGGCCCTCGTTGGTCCCCGCTGGCCCTTGTTGGTCCCCGCTCGCCCTCGTTGGTCCCCGCTGGTCTGTGCTGGCCCCTGCTGGCCCTCGTTGGTCCCCGCTGGCCCTCGTTGGTCCCCGCTGGCCCTCGTTGGTCCCTGCTGGCCCCCGATGGCCCTCGCTGGCCTCCGCTGGCCCTCGTTGGTCCCCGTTGGTCCGCGCTGGCCCTCGTTGGCCCGCTGGCCCAGATCGCCCGTATGAGAACAGAAAACCCATCTTCACCGGTCCGGGCAGCACCTCAACCTGCATTGAGCAGACACGGGCACAAGTAGACTTCTGGGTGTGTGAAGGAATGTAATTTACAGAACACTCTCTTGACCTTTAAACACCCTCACCAGGCTAACAATTAATTAGAAACCTCAGGTCGCTGGTTACCATGAGATTGCTATGCAGGCTACACTCTGGCTGTGTTTTATGAATAACACTTGTAATTATATTTTATATATGAGTCTTATATATTATTAATACAACAATCATAACATAAAATTATGTATAATTAAAACCAATACAATATATAATTATAATATAATCAATATACGAGTATATGATTATTATTGTGTGTGTGCACGCACGCACGTGTGTATTTGCGCTGTGTTCTGGTGGCTTGAACACAGCAATGTCCCTTAGCTTTTTGGCTCAAGGCTGGTGTTCTACCATTTGAGCTACACCTCCACTTCCAGCTTTTTGGTGGTTAACTGGAGCTACTTTTCTGCTTCCAATGATCCTCAGATCACAGCCTCCTGAGTAGCTAGGATTACAGGGATGAGCCACTGAGCTCTGTTATTAACATAGACAATATGTGCTTAATGTAAAGCTGGTTCTCTTACATTAGTACAAGTTGTTAATCTTTTGATGCTTTGGGGTGGATGTTGATAGATTGTTTTGCTTTTCTGCTTGGATGAAAGTTATATTGTCCATATATGTCATCACTTGAGACTTCTTTAATAAAATAGATTACATTACATGGGGCACTTCTTGCTTCATTGTGGTAAGGGAGCAAGGACCAGTGCAGAAAACATTGCTCATAACATGTTGGCTAGGGGCTAGTTATATTGTTGCTGCATACGAGTGTAAGGTACCCGGATGTGGCTGAGCCCATGGCTGGTTCAGCTGTCCGTGGTGTATTTGCTGAGAGGTTGCCCTCACCCTGTAGCAGGAGTAATTTTGCTGTTGATGAGTGACTACAGAATTGTCACAAGGTTTGCAGTCTAGGTTTTGCCTGTTTACTTTAGAGAGCTGTACAATTAAGACTGTCCTGAGAGAGTTCAGTTCTAGAGAAGTAGATGAGAAAAACGGAGTGTAATGGTAGACATTTTTTATATCATACATTACATCATATGTTAGATCATCTCTCTTCCTCTCTCTGTCTTAGTTTTTGTACCCCAACCCACTTAAAGTTGTAATCTATGCCTTAAGCCTTTCTTTAACATTGAGACTCACATCTGGCACATAGTAGTCACTCAATAAACATCACTTTTTAGTCCTGTAGTCCTGAAGTACTCAGGGGCTCATCTGGGTTGATGTCCCTCACCATGCATAATTTGGTGAACTCTTTGAGGTTGTGTTCAGTCTCACAGGACCCTCAAGAATCTCTTCCTAAGCCTTAATAATGTTCAGTGGTGAAAGGTAATGAAGTCAACAAACATGGTGCCATGAGCCTATGCAGGGTCCTGGGTAATTGCAGGAAAGAGGAGATGACTAAGTAGAGCTCAGACCACCGACTCAGGAGGATTGGGCAGAGCATGGCTGTGTTCCTTCTACCTTTGAAGTCTATGCTCAAGTTTGGGTTTTCAAACAAGTGTAGTTTTTATGTGGGTGGTACTGGGTAGAGTTGCTTTGGACTCTGTTGATGCCCCATATCCTACCATAAGAGTGCAGAGTCTGAGGTTTGTGCCATGGAAATTGCACATGCTCCTCCAGCATTGATTGCTCAGAGAGGAGGCAGGTACTGAGCCAAGGTGGAGGAGGTAATCTGGAATTTTTTTTGTGTGCTGGACTTGGAACTTGAAAGCAGGGCCTGGGTGCTGTCTCTGAGTTTTGTGCTCAAGGCTAGCACTCTACCAGCACTCTACTAGTCGAGCCACAGCTCCACTTCTGGCTTTTTTGGCTTGTTAATTAGAGATGAAAGTTTCTCAGGCTTTCCTGCCTTTGCTGGCTTTGAGTCATGATTCTTAAAGTTCACTCTCCTGAGTAGCTAGGGTTATAGGCTTGAGTGATTGGCACCTAGTTTAGATCTGGTCTCTTATTCCTTATCCACCATTACTTGGCAGTTGCTTTAATCCTCTGGGCTTTGGTTTCCTGCTTTGAGCAGTGACAGTTCTGGACTAGATGATTCCTTAATGTTCTAAGTTCAAGACTCTATCAACAAAATGTGTGACTGTCAGTCCTTTTAGTATTGATAAAGATGGATTTAGTAGCCATCTTGCTACCTACTCAAGCACGGATTTCCATAAGATAAAATGGTAAGAACAGGGGCTGGGAAGGTGGCTCAGTGGTAGAGCGCTTGCCTTGCATGCCTGAGGCCCTGGGTTTGATTTCTCAGCACCACATAAGCAAAAAGAAAAAAGCCGGAAGTGGCGCTGTGGCTCAAGTGGTAGAGCACTAGCCTTGAGCTGAAGAGCTGAGGGATAGCGCCCAGGCCCAGAGTTCAGGCCCCACGACCGGACCAAAAAAAAATGGTAAGAACAGTCCAACAAAATACTAGAGATGGGCAAATTATTATTACTACTACTATTATTTTTCTCAGTGGTGAATTATTATTATTACTATTCTTACCATTATTTCTCTCTTGGCAGTACTGAGAATTGAACTGAGGGCTTCAGGATGAGGCTAAATTACAAAGAAGTGCATTTCTTTTTGATGGAAATAGGATTTGAACTCAGGGCCTCACACTCACTAAGCAGGCGCTCTACCATTTGAGCCACACTTGCAGTTCCAAAAGAAAAGTGATATATTTCTTGAGATTTTAGAGGCTAGGAATTTCAGGAGAAGAGGTGACATCTAGTGAGCTCTTGTTACATCATGGTGTGGAAGAGGGCATCACACAGAATAGCAGCAAGCATGGTAGCTCAGGGCTCTTCTTACAAAGCTACTGATGTCTTTGTAGAGACAGCATATCCTCCAACTATTACCTAATCCTACTTCCCTCACAAAGGCAACCCTCCATGTTCCTCCCACAGAGAGATAGCTTCTACCCTCCTGCCTAGGGCCAAGGCAGTGTGCACATTAAGGGACAGCTGCTGTAAAAGGTAAGTCTAACTTCAGGACAGAAGTTTTGTAAACAACGAGAGTGTTCATCTTTGACAGGCAGCTCAGTTCTAGGTGGTGACTCAAGGCAACCTCTGCCTGACAACTCCACCATCCTGTGCCCACAGATACCTTGATTGCTGTAGGAGAGACCAGAGAGACCCACAGACTCAGCCTGGAGGGGATACCAGTGTATCTGGCCACATTCTTGGAGTAGAACTTGATTCTGAAGGCAGTGGAGTTTTAGAAGACAGGCCAAAAGGAGAACAAGTTTGAGTGAACAGTTAGTCAACGATTGTCTCAATAGGACCATAAGAGTAATGTAATAAATTATCTATTTCCTTCCATGAAACTTAAAGAGCCAACTTATAACCTAAGCAGCCAACAAACTGAGACAAGACCTCCATCACCTGTGACAGGGAGGGATCAAGGACAGATAAATGTTCCAGGTGACAGAGGATGAAACAATGACCATAGTGTGAAGGTTGGAACTGAAGAAAGAATCTTTGGAGACTAAAGGAAAGGACAAGGGTTGAAGAGATAAAGATGGCCACAGGAGGTGAGGGAAGATCTGAAGGTCAGATGTGAAGGTGAGAAGAGGTTCTGAGGATGGTGAGATAGAGGAAGGATTGAATTCTGGATTAGCTACTGGAAGAAATAGGAGAGAGAGTTGACCACTGACATGTAAAAGAGACATTCTAGTATCCCTTGGTTAGAAGAGCAGAACATTTATTGAGTGCCTGCTGAGGCCAAGAGCACAGACCAGCAGTACTATTGTACAGATAAAGAAACTGAGGCTCATAAAAGAAACAAAAATCAAAATAACATTGAGATTCCACCTCACCTCAGATAGAATAACCATTATCAAGAAAACTGACAACAACAAATGCTGGCGGGATATGGCCAAAGGGAATACTACTACACTGTTGGTGGGAATGTAAACTTGTTCAAGACTCTGGAAAGCAGTATGGAGATTCCTCAAAAGACTAAATATAGATCTTCCCTATAATCCAGTAATTCCATACCTGGGCATTTATCCAATACAGTACAAACATCACACTAAAGCTACCAGCACAACCATATTCCTTGCAGTATTGTTTACCATAGCCAAGATATGGGATCAACCCAGATCCCCCTCAGTGGATGAATGGATCAAGAAAATGTGGTGTGATTATATATAATATGGAATGCTACTCATCCATCCGAAAGAATGACATTGGCCCATTCATAAGGAAATGGAAAGACCTGGGAAAAATTATATTATATGAAGTAAGCCAG